CTGCCTATCAGACAAAAATGATTTTATTAATGTCACTAAATTGTCGTTGGTTTTTAAGGTCTTTAGTTTACTAATTAAAATATTGTGATCAACCATGTCAAAGGCTTTCTTATAGTCAACAAATACGGCACCACAAATTTTGCCATTGTTGATGTTAAGGTGCCAGTTGTCTGTCATTTTTGTCAGCGCAGTTTGACAAGAGTGTTTAGGTCTGAACCCTGACTGGCTATCGACTATTAGACTATTTTTATTTAAATGCTGAAACATTATTTTATGTATGTGTTTCTCTAATGGTTTAGATAGTGAAGATAGTAGAGAAATGGGTCTATAGTTGCCTAGAGAATTGTTGTCAGCTGAACCAGGTTTAAGCAGAGGATAAACCTTAGCAATTTTAAATGCTGATGGAAAGTAGTTCTTGGCAAGGCACTGATTATATATAAACGTTAAGGAATCACTAACGACAGGTGCAGCACATCGAAGGATTCGATTGCTGATTCCATCCAAGCCAGAGGAGTTTGTTTGCTTGAAGTTGATGAGATAATCATACACTTCAGCAACAGACATAAGGGGAATCTCAGAAGGGATATTCGTATTGCATTTTTCCTCACAGAATGATGCTAGTAAGCTTAAGTCACACTGTGAGTCTGGTATTGTGGACTTTAAATTCTCTATTTCTGATTTGAAGAAACAACTAAAATCATCACACGTTAGATAATTTGGTTTTAATTGATCTGAAGAATGCTTATTGGTTAGGATGTTGATAGCCCTCCAAATGTCTGCATTATTTGTTTTATCTGTAATCATTTTTTTTAATGATCTTTCTTATTTTTACGAATTAAATATTTTACCTTATTTCTCAGTTTACAGAAAAGATCATGGTTTTTATTCTTGTGTGCTGTATCTCTTTCTATCATAATTTCCAGAACCTCGCTAGTAATCCATGGTGATTTCGTGTGATGTTTTACTCTAAGGTCTTTAATAGGCACATGTTTATCAAATACACTATACACTGTTTTCGTCCAGTAGGCTATAGCATCGTCCGGTTCAGGAAGCTGATAAACATGGTCTAGCTGTGCATTTCGCAAATCTAGTAAAAAAAGAGTCAGGATTAAAAGTTTTGAAATTTCTAAATTTAACTGCGATATGTTTATCTGTAGGTGTTTTAAAACCAATTTTCGCCCATACACAGCATACAGGATAATGATCGCTAATAGCCGTAGTGGGGACAGAACATTCAATAATATTTTTTGGGTGAGAGACATATATATGATCAATTAGTGTTGAGGATGTTTCTGTAACTCTAGTGGGAAAGTTAATTAACTGTTTGAGGTTATATGAAAGAATGATATCTTCCCATGTCTGGTTAGGTTTATTTATGTCAATGTTAAAATCGCCAAGAAGAATAATTTCTTTCCCTACACTAAAAACTGTGTCCATCATAGAAGTAAAGTCGTCATACCAGTTGCTGTCTTCACTTGGATTTCGATAAAGATAGCCAATGAGAAGTGACTGCTGGTTTAACGGCTTAACCTCCAGCCAGATACAATCGATTTTTTCATATTCTAAATTAAATCTACGTGAATATTTGAGATAATTCGAAATATAAACTGCTATGCCAGTCTCTAATCTTCTTATTGCATCTTTGCGAATTACTGTAAAACCACCAATGGTGATTTCGTTGTCACTAATTTTGTCGTTCAAGCGACTTTCTGTAATTCCAAAAACGTGGAATTGGTTACTGAGCCTAATTGATAGCTCGGGTAGTTTGCCGAGTAAATGAAAAATGTTTAGATGACCTATTCGGAGGCCATCTTTTTGAAGCCACTTATTTCGACTATTTAACATGATGGTTTTGAAACGGAGGATATTGTTAGGGTGGTTTTAAAACTATAATCACTAGTAAGTAGCCGTAGGATTAGGCAGGTTATGGTAGCGTCTCTGCTGGAGCGACATCATATAGGCATGATGTAGAGCTGCAGGGTTGAACTGCATAAGATGCTGAACTTCATAATTCCAGTTGTAGGCTGGGTGTACACTAGTGTGCACTGAAGGGGGGCTACTCTGAGCAACACTGGTAAGTCCTACATTAGAAACAGATGCTTGAGGCATGCCTTGCATGTGTAAGGGCGTTTCCATAGATTTGACTGAAGATGATTGCTTCACAGGCAGTGAAGGAAACATAACATCGTAATTTTCAGCCTGAGGAATGGAACATGGGCTGCGATGCAGAGGAATGTGAGCTTGAGATGAAGACAAGTTTGACATTGAGATAGGGACGGTGCACTGCCTTCTATGCATGTTTGCCACAGGCGAGATTTTAGGTACTTCAGTGCCGGGCGCTGATTGTGTACGTTGTGGATACTTGATATTTTTAGCCAAAATACTACTGCCTAATCTGGAACTGTGTATTTGGTCCCGGTACAACTTTTTCTTAGGAGCGCCAGACGATGAGGTAAAGTAAGGCGTGTGGTTAATAAATGTGATGTTTTGTTCCAGACAAAATTTCTGTAATGTTGAGTTACCTGCATCTGCCAAACGTCTTTGAGATCCATAAGATGGTGGTAAAATGGAAGATAAAAACACAGATGATTTTGGAAATTTGTTACGCATCGAGTCTAACAATGTGGACAAATGAGACGTGCTAACTGGTTGATTGTTCATAACGTCATTGATGCCGGCATGGACAGTGATTCTTTTAACGTTATGGTTTGGATTATATCGTCGCAATGTCGCTGCCACCCTATTTATATCTGCACCAGGTAGAGGATGAACTAACACTGTCTCGTTATCTGTTGACATCCGGTCACTGTAGATTCCCTTCATCAGAGAATCACCAATAATTAGATGTGACACACTGGAGTCAATGTTTAATTCACGTTGTTGTCGGGTCTGTCGGGAGCGCTGGTGCTGCCACTGGCGACTGTCATCTCGAGGCTGGTCTGTATCTTTTTGTGACATCTGAGACGACTGATGTTCCACAGAGGGAGTTTGTGGTTCATTTTCTAAACTAAGAGCCTCAAATCTGTTGCTTATTTTGACCCCAATTGGATAAATAGAGGCAGTCCTCTCAACAGGCTTAGCAGTGTTTTCGTTATTCACAGTCGCCTTTGTGGCGTCTTCAGTGTCAAATTGAACATTTTCTTTATTTGAGGTGGCACTTTTCGTTAACTCGTCTATTTGAGTTTTCAAAGAAGTATTTTGTTCCACCAAAAACTTTACTTCATTTTTAAGGAATAATTTGTCCTTCTCCAATTGGGAAACAATCTCTGATGAGATAAAGATTTTCAACCTGTCCTCTAAGGCTCGGATTAACTCCTCACATGTAGTAGGCCTGTGTGGACACGAACAATTGACACTGTCTTTTGAAAAATCGGGTGTGTCCACCCCTTTTCTTTCGCTTAATGGCTGGTTACACAGCTTATCAGTGAGACATGGCGTGGTAGGTGTTGAACTAGCAGCACGGCAATCGACAACGTGAGGGGGAGTGCTGGCTACTTTGTTTGCCGTTTTATCTTTGTTCCCTTGTTGCCCTCGTTTGGCGAGTGTAGATGGTCGTAGACTGGACGACATTGTTAGAACTGAGCACAGCGTTCCGCTTCACTAGCCACGGACCCTCCAACTGCCCGGTTTGGCTGTCTTTTGTCTAATTAATCGGCATGCTAGTTACACGCCTGGGTGAACAGCTTCAGTCGAAAACTGGTAAAGTTAATAGTGAATGTTGTTACCTTGTAATTCCATGAAAGAAATCACAATTAAAATATCACAGTGGTACATGTTCAAATATTATTGAATCCATAGCATATCCAAGCGAAATATCAATAAAGTGAAATATAAAACATCATGATTAGGCTATTACATCCTTGGAAAACAACTGAAAATGTAGGAGCTGCTAAAACACGTCTACACGTGGCCAGCCTTAGAGAAGAAGAAAGGGACAGATAGACAGACAGACAGACAGGGTAGAGAAGAGAAGGGGCGGGGCAGGCATAGAGAAGAAGGATGGACAAGGGAAATAAGAAGTGGGAGGGGGTCGAGTCTTACATGTTTGCCACCTTCATTGCAAATGTCAATCGACTATTTACCAGATACGTGGATTATGTCGTTCTGGCCGCTTACAATCTCCCAACACCAAATGCGATGCAAGCCTGGTTTGGTAGCCCCTTGTACTCAACACACATAAGTGTGGTAAGTACTGCTGTTTTCTCTCACACATATTTTAGAGAAGCAGTTATCACTCACCTCCTGTCACCCTTATGACAGGCACTGACTCTCTCCCCATGGTGACTCTACAGCGTTTGTAGGTTTGCGTCAATGTTATCTGTCTACTGTCACAACTATTGTAGTTTAAGAGTCCTCATATGCGTGACATTAAAACAGGGCCCCTTTTAACTCACATTGCCCTTGCTTTCCAGTACCATGTCTGGTACCTATTTCAAACTGGATCCACGAAAACTAAATTTATTGTTGAAAAAAAAAAAATACATGTTTGCGGTTTCGAACCTAAGACTTTGGCTGGGTATGCTAGCGCTTAGATACGCTGCAACTAGTGCGTGTTACAACTATAGCATAATTTATCATTGCAACGCACTGCTTTTAAAGACACATTGTATGTAGTGTTCTCTAGGCAAATTGACACGAGTTCATGATTTTGAACACAAAGAAAAAACCTTCAAGAACACTGGACAGCTTACTTGCTTGTTCCTTCTATAAATATTTGTTTATACATTCAATTCAATCTAAAGTTCACACACACTTTTAAAATTTCCTTACGTGGCACGCAAGATCCCAACTGCACGCTTGTCTTGAGTTGGTATAGCTCACTAAATCTTTTTCACACACATTGTCATAAGTGGTCGATGCCATTCACTCAAGGTCTCGCAGTTTATTTATGATTAGTGGTAGATGTTCTAATGTTTCAACAACAATGAGACATTGATTTCTCACAGTAATGAACAACTAGATATGTATTGACCGATAGTGCTAGAGACACAGAAGATACTCATCATCATCATCATCATCATCATCAAGGGCCTTGCAGACTGACTTGGGCGATCATGCCTCTCCATAATCCACAATTTCCTACAGCATGTATCAGTTTGTGTGCCGACACACCTTTATGCCATACAACAAAACTGTTAAGAATTGTCTCTCGTTGTCTTCCTTTATCCCTCCTTCCACAGATCTTTCCAGTGGTCACATGTTCTACTTTCCCTCTTCATGGCGAAAAAATGCTGACTCCTTCTGATCTCTGTGATAAGTTGTCTTCGGGCTCCCGCTTCTTTCAAAATCTCTTTGTTGCTCTTTTTTGGCTGTCTAATGTATTCTAAGCAATCGTCTGTAAAACCACATCTCTGAGGCCTCACGAAATTGTTTGGCCTTCCTACCGATTGTCCAGGATTCACAGCCATATGTTAAAACTAGATGTATGTATCAAGCAATTATTCTTTTTATAACTCTCAATGATAAAGATGTATTGCACAAGATCTTCTTCATTTTATAAAATGAAGTTTGTGCCTGTCCTACTCTGTTTCTTATCTCAGTTATGCCTCTTCCATCTGATGTTATCCATGTGCCCAGATACCTAAATGTCTGTACTTGTTCTAAAATAACACCATCAACTTTTATTACGCGTATAGGAATAAATCTTTTCCTTGAAACCATCATTACTTCTGTTTTCCAATTATTCAAGCTGAGACCCATTTTTCCATTTTCTAACACAATAATCATTTTCTGTAGTTCTTTCTGACTTGTTGCTATCAAGACTGTGCTATCAGCATAACGTAATTTTTTTATGTTGTGACCACCGACCATAATTCCTGGCATATCGATTAAAAATATCGTTATATATTCACTGTATAGTGAAAACAAATCAGGTGACAGTAGACATTATAGTCGTACGCCCCTCTTTATGCCTTGAAATGTGCCTAAACCGTTGTCAGTTCTTATAACTGCTGTTTGAAGAACATACTAGACAACGTAAAATTCGAAAAGTATAGGTGTCATACAAGGAATCTAGTCTGTAACCTCCAAATGACAAGAGCGCTTTGCTAAAGACACATGTGTATTTCTACGCATGACCAAGTCAACACTCTTGAAAGAAATCTTCATAGCCATGACTGTTGTGCAGCTTGAGGATATTACTATGGAGTACCGACACAATTGGTTTTGAGACTGTGGTAAAGCATTATAGGCTTCATGTAACTTTAAAATCCTCCCTCAAAAATCTCTGTCTCAAAGTTTTACTCCCTCTTGTCAGAATTCTTCAGTCAGAGAGTGGCTCGACGAAGGTCTGCCAGCCAACAAGACGGTTGTGGGGATCACTAGTGTTGGTCGCTTCCTGCGTCTGCTCGATGTCCTTAGATTCACACCTGGCGACCCCATTAACGAGACGCTAAGGGGAAACGACTACAACATACCAGGCGGCCTAGCATATTCTGAGGTAGGGTCCCCGTGGAAGAGGATGTGTGGCATGGAAGAAGGTTTCTTTTGAAGCTGGTGTCAGGCAGATGTGTTGTCATGGATGTCTGTGTTTATTAACGATGTCACTCGTCAGCATCACTCAGCAAATCAGTTGCAGATCGTCGCTCTTTTCATGGCACACGTGAAAGTCGTTCATCCTGGCCCAATTCACCAGCGCTATCTGTTTTCGATTTACCTTAAGTGCTTTGTAAACACCTTCGCGTGGGGTTTTGATCGAGCCGCGTTAGCGCTTCTGATAGGAGGCTCGCTTTCAAATCCAGCTGCGACTCGCTGCAGCCATGTTCAGTGTTCGAAACCGGGCGGTTCCCGGGGTTCACCCAGCATCTAGGAAATGGGTATCAGCGTGACACTCTGGGGTAAATGGAGGAACGTCGCTGTAGCTACAGAGTTACTTGCGAACGGCGACACAGGCGGACAGTTTCTTATCAGCTGTCCGTTTTGGTGGCAGAGCTCTTATGGTTTATAACCGTGTGCAATGACGCTGGTTCACATCTCCCGACTTTACCTTTTTACCTTTTCGCGTGGGGTCTGCCTCGGCCTCGTTCTCTGGGAATTGTACCTTCCAACACATTTCTCTCTCGGCCACTATAACGTTTAACCTCACACTCTAAATGTTTCGGGTTCGTTACACAGACTGCATCCTTCCATTCACGAACTCAATGTTTACAGACTTACCGGATAGTGGCTAAAGCTACGAAGGACGTGCTTCATGCCCCGTGCTCTTGGCAGGCGGCTGTCTATTACGTGTGGAGAGACTGAATACTTTGAGATTAAATCAGATATCCGATTAAATGAAGTCATGCGTTATGCGTTGCAAGGCTTCATTAACATGCTCCTAATACTCATTACATTTTGTCGCTATCTTTAGTGTAAATATGTAAAATCATCCCGTAGCACTGCGTGTCGTTGGGCCACCGCTTGCTGTTGACTGTCTGGTCAGCTCTTTCTACCTGTGATGGTCAGAGGCAATGGACTCCATGGCTGCACGCCTAAGATATTTATTGTTAACAGCTTTCTAGACGATAGGTATTATGTTGTGCTATAGGAAGGCATAGGTGTATGAGGCCATTGCGATGATGAGTGTGGTTAGCGAGAAGACCTGCTCACATCAGGAACATTCCTCTACAATTTGTTCATGCAATTTCATTACCATAGTTTATATCTTCAATAAGTTGCTTATGGGACGCTCAGTTCTTAACTAATCTAAATTAATTGTCTCCTTGATACGTAACAGTTTGCTGATTTCACCTCTCCATGAAATACCGTCATTGGAATATCTTTAATACAAAAACTGCAAATATATGTTTCTAAAATGCATGGTGTCTTTTACATGGTCATCATTGTCACATACCGCTCGTGTCACGTGCCTGATTAAGGATTTCTCCTTATGAACCAACAGCACTCTGAAATAGTATAAATGTTGGAATGTCGGCTCGTATTGGTCAAGGCGGTATCCCGCGGCCAATATAAACCTAAACTATTTCAGGAGTAGGGCAACATAAGTTATGGCACTACAGAATATATATATTCTTAGGCGCAACTTGGCCGGAGGTCCCCACTACTACATGAAAAAAAAGCTCCCAGACCATGATATTGTGCTATCACAGTCATGTTAACACAGATTAAGATTACTATTTACAAATACATGTTCTCCAGACAGACAAGAACAGTGAATGATGGACACTCAAATCAATAATGTAAAATTCCAAAAACATGTAATAAATTCAACATACACATCATATAAGAATCAAGCAAAGAAATTCAAGAACAACCAGAATGATGAGAGACCAAAACCACAGTATGTCTGACTGATTCTCGGAGAGATTCCTAGAGCCAGCCTAATTTCATCACAGTGAATAAGTGGACAAATAATATATAAGCATGGCATTGAAACATTGACTGATGCCACTTATCTGTTTACACTTTGGAGTCACTGCACTCATCTGGTTCATGATTACTTGGACTGGCTGCCACTTTCGGGAATGTTCCATCAGATGGTTGATCTGGTAAAGACAGTCAAATTCAGTTCTCAATCAATGGCACACAAACAAGCTCTTTGAGAGGGTACTCTGGCACTACGTCTGTTACTGATAGCCATGAACAACTGCTGGACAAAAGAATGGTGAAGGTGCATCACCCATGAAAATGTATGTTGACAAGCTGGAGAATTACTATCTGGTGGATGACAAATTGTTGGCCTGTAAGCTGATGCCAACAAAATGGCTTACACTTTGCTGGCTTCCATGCTGGTGGTTTTGTGGACAGCTGATTGACTGCCTGGCTTCCAAGAAGATATCATCCTGTGACAAGAAGGAACTCAGAATTAGCAGTTAACTCACAGTTCACATGCCCAGCTCATTTTATGATAATCCACATTTAGCAATCACTCAGAGGACAGCTCTCAGGATAACGAGACTCTAGTAGCCTCCATGTATCAGTCAGTCAGGATAAGAGACAGGAGACAAGGTCCACAGTGGAGATAGACAGACTCTATCAGACAGAGAACATCATCTCTCCACATCCACATCTGCACCTGTAGTCACACAGACCACCACTCTCCCACATATGTATATATTATTTTCCACAGACTGACCCTAGCCTACCCTGTGTTGTGTTTAAGTTTCCCATTATTAACGACTGACGTCACGCACTGTGTGTGTCTCTCGCTGCGCGGAGAAGCTGTGCGCTGACCCAATTAAATCTGCCGGCTTCGATGTCGCCATCCAAATTCTCAACTAGCTAGTTACGGAACCATTGTGCTGCTAGATTAAACCCTTTATACTAATATTGAGTCAGGTAAGGAACATACTCTCAGCTTGAAAAGGGGAAGGGTTGATTTAGGTGGCCAGGAGTATTTTGACACCAGGAACATTCTTGCTTTGTAATGTCTCATAGCCGAATCATTCCGCTCCTCAGCAGTGGGTTAAATATATAGATTTAGATACATTGTACTCGTAAAGTATAATCGACTCACCCAAGCTCAGGATTCCTCCATGTAATAAGCTGGTACTTTGTTCTAGACAGAATTAGGAACAAAAGCAAAACATTTCTGTTTTTCTTGGAAGCCCGACTGAGAATGTAGGGGGGAGGGGGAGGGGACTTGGCGCCACTTTCAAAGAAAGTAGCACACACCAGATCAATACGCCACGGAGTAAATCGTCTCCTCGGATAAACAATAATAATCCAGAGAATCTCTACCATACAACTGTAAGTTTGAAAATGTAGACTTTTCAAGAGACCCAGAATATATACAGAAATATCTATTCCGTTAGCTAAAGGTATAAATAGACATGATGGACTATATACCCACCAGACAGGTCTATATTTGAATGTGACCTGCCTGCTAGGGGCGCCAGCGTCACGAATAGTCTAAAGTGTAGGGGTGGTTTTGGCCATTCCATGACAACCATGCAAACGGTGACCAGTAGAGGGGTAATTTTGGCAGATGTCATTTAGGCTGTCATGTCTTGGTAAAAAGTGCAATTTCCAACATGGTTTATACAGATTTCTAATAATTAACACCACAGTGAATACAACCTAACATTGACTGGTGTTGTTCTCCTTAAAACCTAAACATTTTTACTTTCCTTCAATATTTTGTTTGAGAAATAAACTATTTTGTTGTTATCTTTTATACCAATAACCTGAACAGTAACTGTTGTTTCTTTTAATAGTGAGACAAGAGCAGCGAAAATGTAGAGGCTGAAAGAGATTTTCACATTGAATGGGTGCTACCGCTACCGTGGGCTGCTGGGGTTGCTGCTTCGTCGCTGAAATTTGAATAGTAGGCGGGTGTAGGGGGGAGGTGGGTTGGTTATAGTAAGTACCGAGGGGGTTGTAAGAGCTTAGGGTGAATAAATATACGTCTGCAGTGGAGACAAAGATGACGTAAAAGACGGGAGAGTAAAATGTTCTTTCATTATTCCCGTCGAAGCCAGGGATAGTTATATCTAGTATAAATGTTTATATGTATCTGTCTACAGATATGTGTGATGTTAAAAATAGTAGAGACATTCTTTGACGAAGCTGCCCAGATGTACTATTTGGTTTCAGAAAATACTTGGGTTGGGTACGAGGATTTTGATAGTATAACAGCAAAGGTATGAAAGCACTGTTTTAGTGTACATTTGTTGTTGTGGTAGTGGTAGTGATTTTTCCAAAGGAAACACGTTATGTTTGTCTGTATTTCCTCATTCCTTCTCAACCCGTGGTCATCTAATTCTTCACTCGCCTCCACTCATCTCTTTGGTTAGAATTTTATTTCCAGTTAGTAACACCACGGGTTTACATGTCTGTCTGGACGTTATCTCTCTATTGTCTTCTTGATCTGCCTCGTGATATTTGACCATTTATCTGCCTTGTGTGTACAGTTTTTACCTTTTTGTTACCTGATATTCACTCAATATGTCCCAGCCATTTCAACCTTTTGGCGTTCATTATGCCAATGATCAATGGTGGTTTAAACAGATTATGAATTTCTTTGTGGCTTCTCCCTCTCTATTCACCGCTGTTTACATCTTTGATAGGTCTAAAGATTCGACGTAAAACCCCGTTTTCAAAAATTTGTAATAAACTTTTTTCTCTTTTAGTTTTGCTCCAAGGTGCTTAATTCTGCCGAGGACAATAATTTTTTTGTGACAACTGTTTTCCTCGCATCAGTTTAGTTTCGTCGTTAAGAACAGACACCATAGCCCTTGAGAATTAGACACGCACTCTGTCCCGGTAATCACTGCAAGCGACAGGTTTTGTTTTGTCTAATTGAATCAATAGCTGACTGATTGTTTGTACGTCTTGCTTTTTCTGTGAGATTGAGTGTTGGCAGAACCCATTGTCACTTGCTGCTGAACTGTTCTCTTCAGACTGTAATGATATCTTAGTTGCTTTCTCATTGTTCACCCTTTTCCAAAAGGCCTCGATGACATATAGTTTGTTAGTCAATCATAACTTTACAAGCGGGCAGTGCCCAGGAGGCCAGTCTGTCATACTGTTCGTTTCCCAACACACTTGCTTCAGCTGAAGCACGTCTTTGCCGTCTGCGAGGCCGAGAAAGGAGACAATATAACCAGCTTCTCATGGGGACAATTAGTAGAAGTACTTTGGAGTGGCTGCTGCTTCGGAGGACTGCGCACGCATGGGTATGCCCAATGTGCAGTGACGTCGATTGTGATAACAAAACACAGAATAACATTTTATAGGAAGTCGGCATTCTGAAACCCAAGTTCAAGGTGTCTCCTTCGTGCCAAAGAACTGCATGGCTGTTGGGTGAACAGTCGTTAACGAAGGCAGTCAGGTCGTTGTAGGGGCGACGCCTGCTGGTGGATGTAATGTCCTAAGTCCCTTTCCCAGCTAATAGTGAGGGTACTGCTGGGGTGACCATTTGTTAACCCCTCACATAATGCTTCAAGTCACAGTGGACACTAGGCACGACCACTTTTTTTTTTTTTTTTTTTTAAAGCCGTGGCAGTTCTGCCAGGCGGTGGCCGTTGCATTTTTGCTCCATTTGTAGACTGGAAGGATATAGTTTCGTCACCCAGCTTCTGAGTTGAGTGCATGGTGTGACACTGTGAGCTACGAGTGTTTTTCGTTGGCACAGGAGCGGAGCAACAATGGGGTGACCCGTTTGCTATGATGCTGAAACTAGGATTACCAGATTACCAGATTACTTGCTTCAGCTTGAGAAACTTTGTCTGCTATAATGCACATGACATGAGATTACCTACACGGAGCATATCCTTTCACCCAATTCTCTATGAGCGCGACATTCATGACATGTGTCTGTCTCTGGCTTCTAAGTTAGCTGAAGTCAAGAATGACTGCCTCCACCTCCAGTCTGAAGCTGAATGTTGTATTATGCATTGTCGCACTAAAGGTTATCCCATCGAGTTTGTTCAGCCTCAGAAATGAAACAGTTTTCAGCAGTAAAACATTGGTTTTTGTTGTTGCAGATTACGTGGATGAAAAATCTTAACCTAGCAGGGGTAATGTTTCCAGAAATTGACATGGACGATTTCAATGGAACGGTGAGATTTTATACATGAGGTCGTGTATTTATTCTGTTTTCTTCATTGCAGTGACTGCACAGTGAAGAGTCTTTGGTGCAGCACCATGAAACAAAACAACACGCTGCCAAACAACTGGCAATGATGAGAACGCTGTCTTTCCAGGGGCAAATGTCAGATTTGATTCGCACACTATTTCACTATCACTATTTGACGATCATTATCATCAGAAGCCTGTCTGACTGACGTAGGTGATCATGACTATTCACAACTTGCGATCTCCAACTTAATGCATCAGTATGTGCGTGCGTGTATGTGTGCGTGTTTATATATATATATATATATATATATATATATATATATATATATATATATATATATATATATATATACTGATAACACCATACGCCAAACACACACACACACAGAGGCTGTCGTGAATCTTCTCGCTTTGTCTTCCACTATCTCCCTTTCCACAGATCTTTTAAGTGATCACACTTTTCAGATTCTCTCACCCCATAACATGAACATTTAAGGATAACGGTATCCTGAAATATGCGACACGTTACCTCAAGGCTTCCACTCGTTTTGAGACACCTACATTACACAATTACATTACACAATTTATCTGTCCATGAAGTTCTAAGCATTCTTGTGTAAAACCGCCTCTTTAAGGTCCTTACAATAATTACTGTTTTGGAATTAATATGGGACAGGACTTTTTCTTTAAAGAAAAAAACACCAAAAAAAGGTTTTATTATTATTACTTACTTACTTACTAACTAATTTTAGAATATAATATTTGAAATAGCCTGCTTGGGGTACCTATAAATGCCGCCTCTTCCGCAACGAAATTCTGAAGGTGTAGATTTCATGTCTTCAAACTGAGTACCACAGTGTCTTGCCACTGAGTGCAAAAATGTCATGCCCCTGAGTGCCATGATATCTTGCCCCAGAGTGTCATGATATCTTGCCCCAGAGTGTCATGATGTCTTGCCACTGAGTGTCATGACATCTTGCCCCTGAGTGTCATGATATCTTGCCCCTGAGTGTCATGATATCTTGCCCCTGAGTGTCATGATATCTTGCCCCAGAGTATCATGATATCTTGCCCCAGAGTGTCATGATATCTTACCACTGAGTGCTATGATGTCTTACCACTGAGTGCCATAATGTCTTACCACTGAGGGCCATGATGTCTTACTACTGAGTGCCATAATGTCTTATCAATGAGTGCCATGATGTTGTGACGTGACGCGTGGTTTAAATGTTTATGTTGTTGAGTAGGGATCTTCCTTTCAACACATTCTCTCCACTAGATAAACCGAACTAAAATCTGAGCTATGTTGCTCTCAGACAAAGTCCTGGATATCCAAGAAAACAGCCATATTGGCTCGTTAAGTATATTAACATTAGCTGAACTTGGTACCCACAAGAGAAAGCAAGGAATTTTAGATGTCTATCATACTAAATGAATTATTAGACAGGGCAAGTGATTCCTTCGTCATCTACCTTCTCCCGGTGTATTATTAATAATTAAAGAATTATTATCATATTATTTGAGCCCCCACCAAATGTTATTCTATCCTAACAGTTTAATTAAACATGTAAGAACAGACATTTGGAATTTAACAAACTATGTAGTTTAAAACTTGACATACAGCTTTATTTACTACAATGAAATTCCCAGTTTGTTGATTTACACAAACAGTGACTGGTTAATGACAGTGATACGCTTCAGCGAGACAAACAGCTCGGGGTTTAGAGTGGTATGATAATGATGATAAAAGGTTAACATAAAGGGGTTAACTCAACTTATAAGCCTCTGACAGCCGTGAGGAACTGTCAAGCTTGTCCAACTCTTCCTTGCCTGTTGTCTGCCTGTTTCAGCTTATTCTCCACTTCATCCCCACCTCGTTCTCCACATCGTTCTCCACCTAGTTCTCCACCTCGTTCTCCACCTCGTTCTCCACCTCGTTCCCAGCTGGCCGAGTCTAACACAATGTAGGCTACTTCATGGACTGATCGTCACATGGGCGCTGTAATCATGGAAACAAAACACATACGTGTAGTATCTTGACTTACACTAAGAATACATGTATCAATTAATACAACATATAATAATAAGATATAGCCCATCACTCCTCCTCATATTCCACATCCTCTCCAGTCTAGTCTGAAGGTCTTTTGTCTTACATGGGCGTCACATATCCTGCCTTCCCTCAAATGCTATGTCATGATAGTTGACTTTCTAAGTCTGTTGTCCGTCTTCACTCAGACTTCGACATTGGCTGACATAGATTTGACATAAACACGTGGCGCAGGTTATGTGCTGAACCCTCAAACAATTTATATGTGCACGCTGTCCTGAATATTATCTTTCAGTGACAGTAAATACTGTACACCCATCATTCTTCCCCTGGGGTTATAAATCCCCTGTTTAGGTGAACACCTTAAGTGAGCACATGGTGGGCACACAAAACGTAACAGCATCCCTGCATGGGCATATTTGGGCATCATGGAAACAATATATTATTACATTTCAGTATAGCAAATGTCATTGTTCACATCTTATTTTCTACACATGAAAACATACACTGAAAAACATGTGACACAAACATACAAGAAATAGGAATAGTTTAGCAGTTCCCTAACTGAGATACTGAATTCTCACAAAGAACTATTTCAAGCAGAATGTGCAGACAAATTAGGAAAAGGTAGTATAGACTAAGCTTAACTCCCTAACCTAAGTATACAAGATTAAAATTAATATTTTCTCTTACCTGGGAACTTTTCCATCTATCGCCAAACCAGAGTACGACAGTAAAATATACCTTTACGTCGACCTGTGTTTGTTTGCCGGCAGGCTGCGATTAATGACGGGAATTCCACAGGCTCGAAGTATAAGTATCAATCTATTGTCCAAATTAAACTCCTCCCTTTCCTTAGTTTTTACCCAACCCTCAAGATGATGGCTTAAGCTCCGCCTCCGGAGTACCTATCAAATCACATTAGCTAACAAGTGGCCTGTCAGTCAATTCTGGACTGACATCCCTAGAGCAAACATTCTTAAGTGCCCCAATCTAGTTTACACCGAATCTAACTGGCCGGTGTGAAAGACGGTCAGTGAAGCCATTGTGTTTCCTACGTGACCAAGATCAAGATAAAACATTCCTAATTGCCAAACACCTGTTCTCTCCAGAATTACACTGACGTGTTAAACTCCGACCTCCCGGCTCCACAATGTCTAGCGTCTACTCAATTTTCCCTGTTCAAAAGGGCCCCGCTCAGTCTCTACAGTCTGGTCAGGAGATAACATTCTGACACTGGCGTGAGAATAGAATTCCTAGCTACAGTGTAAGTTTTAGGTAATATTACCAAGGCGCAGTTGCTTTGTCTGGACTAAGGACTGGAAACATTTAAATCAATACGGTTTAAAGTAATATTTGGGGTAAAGGGCAGAGTAAATCTAATCCTCTCTCTTTAGAACCAGAAGAACTTATTACAAGTACTAACTTCTGGAATCACTGAGATCGTCTCGTGACAGGCCCTCCGTTAAGTTGGTCGCAGCCACTAAGACCAATTTTACGATACTCAGTGATTCCCAAGAATGTTAGTACAACCTGTCATCTCCAGTATTGTTCCAGTATTCCTTGTGGAATCGTGATGTCCTGCATCGATGTACAGTCACCAATTGTCCCTCATTCCAGGCTAAGTCCTTAGTCCTAGAATCATGCGGGTATTCTGAGCAGCCGCTCAGTAATATCCATTTATCTGGAGGTTTCTTCTCCCACAGGATAAGAATCGATCTCCGCTTCAACAATGGGATTCCTCGACATCGTTGACTGACAATCCCTGTCCATTTCCTCACTTCGCCAGGCCCTATTAGCATAGGGAGGGCCTGAAGTGCTCTCCGAAAAGGATGAGTTGTAGTCAGGTAGGATTTTCTCTTCCTACATCTACAGATCCTGAAAAAATCTGTCACTAATCTCCTCTCAAATTGAGGGATATAGTCACTCATCATGACAGCATGCCGTGAGTGCAACTGACCACTGCCGATTTCTTGAAGGAGTGTCCACTTGTTTCCTCCTCGGTGCATCCTATCTGTTTTACAAATTGTCCGGGTGGAATTCTCTTTCAGTAAAATCAGTCCAGAATCAGAGCACGAAATCAAGTCAGGGGGTACAGTCAAATCATTAGGAAACTCAGGGTTTCCTGCAGACAGTAAAGTGGCATTTCTTCGCAATGAAGTTTCCACTATCAGCTGAGATACCCCTGTCACTTCCTTCGAAGCGAAGAGTAATACAAGACCAGAATGTTGGGGTTCCCTACTATTTATGGCTTGTTCCGCTTCAGGGTCCTTCATCAGAAGTATCCCTGTCGCCCCAGCTGTACAGGATAGAGACAATTTGTCTCCCTGCACACAAGAAGTACCTTCTTCTTCATCAATGGCAAACATTTCTGTCTGTCCAGTATCAGAGTGCACAGGACTTGCAGCAATGTCCTGTTTACTCATTGTCTCTAAGGTCGTCAAGAACTTAAAGAGAACTATCCTCCTTATCTGTTATCTCCGCCCTGGTCTGGCTTTCACATACCAAGTCTAGTGGAGGCAAATAAGGGGATATGTCGCTACCATAACAGTCAACTACTTTGGGCGAAAAGTCAGAACTAACTATTTCTATTTTGTATGCAATCGCATCAAGGGAAATAGGGGAAACAGGTTTAGTGTTATTCCCTACATTAGTCTGCTTTACTTCTTCTTCTTGTTTGGAAAGACCAAAGGGATTATGGGAGTTGGGTAAGTCTTTGCCCTCGTCCTCATTAATGGCTGGTGTGCCAGTCGAATCAGTATGTCGACGGTCAGAACAGTTATCACGCTTGTGATTACTGCGGGGTGTGCTCTCATATATCTCATCTGAGATAATGGGAGTAAGGGGTTCCAGCAATGTAGATCCGGTCCCTTTAGAAGATTTCTGTTTCTTACTCCATCTTTTCCTTTTAGGCTTAAGAATGGAAGTAAA